ACTATTATAAAAAAAAGTCACATTAAACAGGAATTAGCTGTTGTAACCAGCTCAATCTTATTAACATCACTCTACCCACAAAGTCTATTTTTTTTTCCGGTAAACCCAACAAAGTCTATTTAACTTTGCATCATAATTCACAACTCATTCACTCAATTAGTTGATTTGGATGAATAGAGAAGTTTCCTTCCCTAAGTTCAAATTCAAACCTGAACAGCCAGATCTCTTAGAAAACAAGCCGAATTTGGTTTTTTGTAATATAAAATACAAATTATATCTAGAAATAAATAAAATATCCAAAGAGGTGGTTGGGGGTTGGGATTGAGGGTTTAGGGTTTTAGGGGGCGTTTGGTACAGGAGAAAAAAAAAATTATCCTGGAATCACAATTACTGAAAATATGGTCGGGAATTGAGTTTTCCGAGAATGTTATCAAAATATTGTTTGGTTAGTCAAAATATTACCGGAAATATTAAGTAAAGATTACTGATTCCATGTTTGGTTGATTGTGAAATATTTATGGGAATATGAGTTATTTTACAAAAATAACCCCATAGTTTTAAAAAAAAAATAAATAAAAAATATGACCCATTTGTACATATTTAAGCACTGACAAGAAAACGAGTTCCATTTCAGTAGCACTGGTGTATAACTCAGTCACGCTTTAGACGAAGCTTCACTTCCGAAAAAAATAATTAAAATGACTTATTTCATAAGCTCACATGAGAACCTCAGGACTAAAATGACAAAATATTAGGAAGAAGTCATTCCTTTTTCATATATAAAGATGAAACATGCAATACTAGAATTTTTAAAAAATTGGGGAGGGGGGGAATTGAACTCTGGGAGCCAACAAGTAACACGACTCACCGACGAGAACCGGTAAAACAAAATCGGTTTGTTGCTGACCAACAAATCGAAGTAAACACACCAACTCTGTGAAGCTTTACTGCCGACAAACAAAAGGAGCGCACGATGAAATAGGGAAGTTTCGATGAATATATGCAGGGTATTTTTGTCTCAGATTTGCGTTTCCATTTTCCGTAGAAGTGGGATTTGTCAAATACCACATTTTTTTTTGTAATCGCAAATGACACTTTTCTTTGTAAATGAGAATACCGGTAAACCAAGATGTGTGGGTAAAAATTTCGGTTACCTTGTACCAAACATGTCATTTTATGATTACCAATGATCCTTTCCCAGTGATATTTACAACCTTGTACCAAACACACCCTTAGGGGGTGTTTGGTTGAAGAGAAATTTTTTGAATACTAGGGAAATGTAATTAATAGGAAAATGGTTTGAAAGTTAATTTGGTAGGAAAATATAAAAAAAGTTATTTGGTTGGAAAAAAATTTACCAGACAAATTAGGTAAGATTTATAAAGTCTATGTTTGATTTGAGATAAAATATAGATGGAGAAATAAGTGACAATTACGAAAATGTCCTTTTTTATAAATAACTGTAAATTACGAAAGTCTATCATGATCCTGAAAACAATTTTTTGTTTTTTGTTTTCACAGGATGGTGGCATCATGGTGTTATGGATTGGATAATTTACAGCTTTCGTGTATGTGAACTACGTTCTCTACTCTTGGATGAGATTGTGTAAAACAAAAGAACTGTGTTCAATTATGTTATCATTCAGTACCTTAACGTACTGGCTTGAGGTTTTTAATTTCCAGCTTAACGTACTGGCTCTGGAATTGCAACAGCTTTAATCTCCGGTTAGTCATCTTCTTACCGCTGAATAGTGGGTATTTTTCATGAGTTTTCTTGTTACCCTTCATGAGTTTTCCCGGTGAGTCATTCTCTTCCCGTTGACGACGAGCTCTTCTTACCGCTGAATAGTAGCATCCTTGTGTCACGTAGTTACACAACAGCCATAATAAGTGCAGAAGTGATGGACATTGTATGTAGTAAATTGGGTTTTCATTTTTTTTTTGATGCACTTGTTGTGGTATTTGTGCGTATAGTTCACTGTTCTTAACCACGTAATCCCATTTGATGTTTTTACAGCTAAGTAATATGGTCTGCGTTTTTGTGAGGTCTGAAAAAGTGATTATAAAACATCTGATTTCAAAGTCAAGTCAAGTTGTTTTGTGGTGAGAGTGGATTTCTTTGTGATTGATCTGAATCAAGTACAGACAACAAGATGGATGGAAAGGCACAAAGCACGTACATGATTGCAACAGATTTGGCTTAATCACCTAAACAGAAGCCTGCATGTGGTCCATTTGGCATATATGTATATCTGTTGTGTAGAGTTAATGATACAGCCTCATTCCAGTGGTTCTGGGCAAGTATTTTGATAGCATTTGAAGTCTATCTTATGTGTAAAAAGACATGATATGTATGAACTAGTACAAAGGCAATGTATTGTGAATTAGTATATTATTCAGACTTCAGCCCAATTATATGTTATGGTGCTTGATTATCATGCATTCAATTTTAATGTAATAACTACCAATGGACAACTGAAACAAATATACTGCAATGAGGTACATAATTAACATTGCACTCAATCTTGTGCAATGGTATGTTATGCACCTCTTTGGTTCAGTGCGTTCCCATGCCTTCAGTAGATGGAATAATTAAGCATGAACGAATCAAATGCACATTTTGTCCGGAACAAAATGGACTCCATAATCAAATATTATTATTGATTGATTCTCTGAAATACAAATATGTTATTGAGGAGTTACACAACAGAATTGTACATAACTCCATACTGTCATTTTTTCTTTTGAAAAGAAAAGGAAAAAAAATTGTTCTGATAAAAAGACAAATATTTAAATGAAGTCGTTGTTTGGTGGGGACAAGTATGAGTATAAGCAAGCAGACACTTCAATGTTGCAATTTCATTTACAAGTACCATTGATAAACATAAATAATAAGCCTCGTTCAAAATTAAAAGAGAATGACAAATACATATATCTCGGATACTTCAGAAAAGAAGACAAAGGAGAATGTGAATTGAAGACAAAAAGAAAAAGAAAAGGACAAGTTGAGGGGAGTGCTGCAATATTGCCGTGAAAGACCAGAAATCAATCCCAACGAGTCAATTGTTGAACCCCAAGTAGGACCAGCGCCAAAGCCAGCAGTTGCAATAGTTTGGCCAGCCTTAACCTTCCCACTTCGAACTGCTTCATCTGCTCGTCATCTAGAGGGTACGCTCGTCATTTGCTTTTTGCCCAATGTGACCATTTAGGTATATAAGATGCAATACCACATCTCAAGTGAGAATATTTCGCCTGCTATTTTGATCAGATAGACATGCAAATTGTTAAGGTGGCATAATGATTTAGGTAGGCATATATTGAAAACGTTTAAACCAAACAAAGGCACCCAATAATCCCACTTCTCAAATACCTATCTATCTCATCATAATCCTCCAACCAAACACACCCTTAGGGGGCGTTTGGTTGAGGAAATATTTTTGGAATAGTAGAGAAATGTAATAGATAGAGAAATAATTGGAAAGATAGATAAAGTGAGATAGGTAGAAAAATGTAAAAAAGAGCTGTTTGGTGGGAAAAAACTTTACTGGAAAAATTAGGTAACTTTATGAAATCAACAGTGCATTAAAAGCCAGATAACCGGTTTTCCGAAAAATCCCACCTTCAAATTGGGTTTCTAAACAGTGCGGATATCTATGTTTCTCATAAATCTAGACAAATTGGATAGATGAGTTTTTGGTGAAAATACGTTGAAACAAACATGATGTTTCTAAAAGTCATACTTGAGAAACATAGATATCCGCTGAAAAGCTCCCAACCAAACACCACCTTAGGGTTTGAGGGTTTTGGAGTTTTGGGTGTAGAGTTTGGGTTTGGGTTGATTACAAATTATACTCTGTTTTTATTTTTATTTTTAAATTTTTAAATTTTTTTGTCACCTTTCAAATACTCTCTTTAATTGTAATCAGATTGTTTCTGCTATTTACTCTTCTTGTTATTGTGTTGGAGTATAACAAAACAATAAAGTAGTGATTTTTTTTTAAAAAAAATTCAGTAAATCCATTTTTTTTTTTTGGTTTAAAAAAATAACCGTTCCATGTATAAATAATAAATTACATTTCGCTGGAGAAATCAAACATTTGCAACTTGCATTTTGAAGCTTCTATAAGTTGTTTAACACCCCATCTAAAATAAGATCATTTCTTGCTGTAGCAGCTTCCAGACCTTTCGAGGTGAAAGAAAAACTATCATTCTTAAAACAAATGACTATGTATGAAATGGTTAATTGTCATTGAATACTAATACAAAATTTTCATACGTTAGGTTTTTTTTTTTTTTTCTGCATTTTTTTCGAAATACACATACCTTGAATAAATTGTGTTTGTTTTTATTATTATTAAATATGAAACAATACCACAATAGTGGCTCACCAAACAACAAACGTTTGACTTTGCGTGGTGGTGGAACTGTTAGACTGGTAGAAAATAATGTGATCCAACCTATTTATCTCCTTCAATGCGTGGTGGCTCGAGAGAGTGAATGGGATTAAAAAGATAATCTCAGATTCTCAGCCATCTCTCTGCCTTCAGAAGACAGGCAGCATAGGATCCAAATAACAAGGACAAAAATGACAAGTAGTTTTGATAAACCAATGAGAAGGGGAATAAATAACCCAAAAAAAAGTAAAGAATCACACTTGATATCCTTTAATCACGCGAATCACATAAAAAGGACCCATAGTTGTTGGAAATACAAAGGTTGTCTCCAATAATAAGATGAAAACAAAACTATTATTTGTCTCCAAAGGTTGTCTCCAATAACAATGAATCACTACTTATTTGTCTATGTTAAAAAATAAAACTAATTTTTTATTTTAAAAAAGCAAGGATTTATATATGAATATTATAATCATTTTATATTAAGAATATTTATGAAAACAAAAAAACTCAATCAAACTTAATAAAAATTGAAGAATTAAAAATGAAGCAAAACCTGATAAAATGATGCAGCACTATTGACTAACCTTTTAAAACTTTTATTTCTTTTCCTTTCCAAATTCAAGAATTAAAAATATATATTACACATGTATCAACAAAATATATATTACACAAATTTCATGCCCAATTCATTTTTACATGCAAGCTTGATAAAAATTCAGCTTAGGACTGTTAATGCAAACCCAACACACACCTCACAGGCCCCAACTTTAGCAAACCCACGAGTTTTTGAATTCCCATCTACATAATATACAAGGGTCAGAGACAAATCAGCCTAGATTGTTGCTCGTGAATCATTTGGTATTCACAACATGCACATTGCTTTTTACATTTTCCTAACTGAGACTCCAGCGAGAACATATGATGAGATTAATTTATTGACGCTGGACTTCCTCTTCAATTGCAGTAATCAACCTAAAGAAGAATAAAATTCATAAATTCATTGATAAAAGTCGATATTTTGATGATACATGTGAAACAATAACAAGAAAGAAAGAAAATAGATGCAGCTGCATCAAGGGGCTTATATTTTTACCTTACTCCAAAAAGGCAAACAAGCCACCAAGTACTTCATCATTCTCCCCATCCTCCTCCGGCTGTTCTCTTTCATGGTGGCTACTGCCTCTGTCAACATCATCAGTTACTACTTCAGTTAACACATTACTTTCATCGTAACCTAGTGTCTTGCATGCGTTTTCCATTACAGAGGTCATTCCCACAAGTTTATAATTATCTAAAGCATGTTCTTTCATGGCCAATGCTGAACCCTCACCGATCCCAACACCTTCTACCGTATCTCTTCCTTCAGAAGTTATCTTTCTCATTTGCAATAATGGACTGCCATTGATACAATGACCATATAGAGAATCAACATGCTTCAAGTTTCCAGATAGAGATGAATCTTCCAGCACAATCTTGTTTTGCTGGGAAGGCTCCACATTGATGGCCCCCATTCTTTCCAAGTAGATCTCACCAAGCATTTGACAACTAGATGAAACTTGATCCAAGTCAAGCAGATTTTCAATCCTTCTTGATGAACCTAGAGAAAATTACAAACATCAAATTGATGGGTAATTGAAATAATTTTTTTGAAGAAATACTTCAAACATGATGTTTGTGGTAAAACAGAAGAAATCGCATAAAATGATGTAGAAACTTTGTAAATTTAAAGCATTCTTTTAAAGGAAGATCCAAAAATAGTTGACATATACACCCATATTTTGTAGAAACTTTGGGTCTTCAATGGTTGTATTCTTATTTGCACCTCAGTAGTTACAATACAATCTTACCTCCTTCGGAGCTTTCAGTGGAGCTCAGTGATGCTGGTTTTGAGTGACAAATAACTGTCATGTCAGCAGTTTGCTTGTCTTCAGCCTGATAGGGAACCGGAGATGCAAGACCCAAATATTTTTCCCCAGTAAGGCCTCTGAGTCGAACAAGTAAGAATATAATGAAAATAAAGACCATTGATAATCATTGGCAAACCAAAAACACAATAGATGTCACTAATGATAATGTATGTATTTTGCTAGACGTAATACCTAACTTGTTGAGGTAATAGTTCCCTACAAATGTCTTCAATTTATAAACTGAATGCAAGCAGCAGATGCTTAAAATATGAATGAACACATTTAATCTACAACACATGAAAACAATTGCAACATTTGATAATATTGATGTAATTTTTGTCCTTTATTCCCCAAGGGGAGCATGTCGAATTTTGTTCAAGATTCTAAACAAAAATTCAATGCAGATAAATAAAAAAAGAGAGATGGTTTCTCTCCTTCAAATGCAAAGCCAGCAAGCATGATTAAAGGTAAGGCAATACAGGAAAACCAGTTCATCTACAACATGATAAAGCACGTCAGTTGGAGGTGAATATGCAATACCAAGGTTACAGTTGAAAACCAAAAACTAAAATCTCTCAAAATTTAGATACACATGTTCAGCAAAGCCCCTTTTCTTTTCTTTTTTTATCATATGCCGCTGTCACAATCAATATTAATATCTAAAAGTAGTCTTGATCAGATAGCACATGATGATTTGACAAAGTAATGACATGCCACACAGTTAGCCAAATCTGCCTGAAATAAAAAAGAAAAACAGTCACCACCTCTCATTCCAGCTTGGTCTGATGCTATGAAAATGGTCAAAAACAGGCAACAACTCCTTCCGTCTTATTTCAACTTCATGAGCAGAGATCTTTTCAATTTCAGACTCTCCACCAGCACTAAAACTATTTTTTACAGAATTCATTGTGTAGAAGCAAATCTGAAGAGACATGGAAGATGGTTAATAACCGATGCCAAACACGGTATAAGAAAATCAAAACTTCACATAATAAATACCTTAGACTTTTGCCATATTTGCATCCTTCCAAAATTCGCTTGCACCTCTGCATTAGATAGATACCAGTGAAATCTCTCTTGGGGTTTCGCTGCAGAAGGTTTTACCGTCTTTTCCCCAACACTACCACTTATATCCAAAAAGTTCAATCCATAGTCATCTCCAGAACATATTTTATCTTGAACTCTATTGATATCATCTTGTCTATCAAAGGTGTTGCAGCAAGGATCCCCTCTTTCCGGCCATTCTGACCTTCTGCATACGTCCCACCATTGAATAGGCTCAACTTTCACTCTAAACTCATCCTCCAGCATATGTAGGGTTGAAGCTGAATGGGTCCTCGAACCACTTTCACTTGGTTCTGGACCAACAGATGGTAGAAGTTCATGTTGAACTACATGACCTGACGGTGTATAGACTAACAGATGCTCTAAGGATTTTGCTTTTGAGTTAACAAGCTGCTGCGAGAGAGATAAGGAATTATGAAAAATGGCAGCAATAGCACCAGATGGCACAAAAACCTTTCCCGTTGCATTTGCATTAGAATTATGAACGGTATTAAGCCATCCAAAACTGCTATACTTTATCCGGCTAACCACAGAAAGGACAACAGGGGCCGGAGGAGGCAAAAGCTGCTGATAAGAAATGGAAGATGAAGTAGACCACCAAGGTAGAGACAAAACTGGAAATAAGGAGGGTTCTTCATCCTGAGAACTGGTAATTTGGAAACCAGTATCACCTCCAAAGGGTGACAAAACAAACAGATGGCAAGTCCCCTTGGACGAGACAATTGCAATCCACTGACTAAAATGACTAAAACAAATGTCCTGGATCATCTGTCAAATACGAAAATAAGAAGATGAAAACGGCATGAATGCAGGCCACAAAGGAATCTCAAACTTCAAAATAAATAAAATAAGCATGTCACAACTAAGAGATACTAACAGCTGACGTTATTCCACGGTGAAGTCTATAAAGATGCACATGAGAAGAGCTCCAGTCATAGCCTGGAACCCCTGAACCCTTGCGTGAGCATGATGGCATTATCCGGAAGATATTAATATTATTTCCATAGACTGATGCAGTGACCAGAAGGGTACCACTTGGGTCAAAACATAGTGCAGATATAGGACTAGAGTGAGCTTTAAATTGTGAGATGATAGCTCTGGAAACAAAATCCTTAACAATTACCTGAAATCAACCATATGAACCAAGAACAAGTCAGAGATTAATATTCTCTGCTAAAGTATACAAATGTCTAACTAATCAATTAGCTGTGCCACGATGAAACAATACCAACCATTCCTGCATTATCCATATCAGTTCCTGTAACCCTACCAATTTTCCAGCCTGAATTTGATGGTACTGGAGAAGTAGAACCATCAGGAAGCAGGTCTTGGCAGTATTTGATTATTCCAGCAGCCAAATGTTTACTGGACTCCATTGCATAACGAGCCATCAAACCACCATTGCTTGGAGATGTTGACGGACTAACTCCTGGAGAAGGACTAACTCCTGGAGAAGGACTTAGGTTTTGTGGGCTTAAGCATCCTACATTTGATGGCAGTGGGTTGTTGGAAGCATATGCTAGCCACCTAGGACCCACAGCCATTGGACCATAACCCACATTAACGCCTATTGTCCCTTGTCCCACTATCTGAGGAACAGGATAGGTGAGAACGCTGATTTTATTCTCAAGAGTTGATGCATCAAAGCAGTGTATCTGCCAAAAAAATTATGGAGAAAATAAATCAATCATACATGAAACAAAAAATAGGTCCTCTATATGTCTTATTTGACAATAATGCTCTACTGTAAGTATTCAAAATTCTAAAAGACACTGGAGGAACCACTGCATACTTGTGTTGCAAGACCAACAGCTACTATCCGCGAACTGCATCTGATCATACAAACCGCGGATCGAAATCTCAGAACATGAACATAACAGTGAGACTTCAAGGAGTAAAACTGAACAGATGTTGAAGAGTTGACACCATTCCCAGGCTGAGTCTCTACCATACCATCTCTTCCTAAACCACTCAAATGGCTACTGTTTGAGCCAATACTGCTAGTGTCATCACCAACAACAACCAGCAATAAAGGATGCGATTTTCTGAATCCCTCCTGACCATCAGAGCCAAGAGGGAAAGGCTGCATCTGTAAGAAAGAAACCGGCCCATCACGCTTTGAGACCAGCTCACTAAAGCTAGAGGCATCCTCCACATCAAGTACTTGAAATCCATTCAAATAACCAAGTAAAAGAACACGTTTACAGATAGACTGATCAAGCTCTAGTATATCAAAACCAGCCCAGGTAACCTGTCCACCAAGAAGTAAAAAAGTAAAATTTTAGTTATAATTATTGGGAAAGTGATGCTGAGTCTAATCATATCAAGAACTTTCAACTAGAACACTAAAACATAACCCAAATTGATGATTAGGTAGAGAGTAAAACGTTGGGAACACTGTGTACATAACAAGTAAAAGCTAATAAAGCAAGCTTAGAAGCTAAAATGAGTAACTAAATAGAGTTTTTAATATTTGTAACGTGTAATAGAAGTTGCAATATTTTTACCTGTTCGAGGTTATTTATTCACTACAATAGAAGAACGAAGTAAACTCACATGACAGAACAAATTGAGAGAGAGGTAAACATTTGTTGCGTATAGTACAAGGGAATTGAATTGGAACCTGATCTTTGTGATCCTCGGAAGAAGAGGAAATGGAAGCAGCGACGGAGGCGCCGGCGGAGCGGACGGTTGAAGCGACGGCGGTTGCATTGGTAGAGACAGTTTTGAGGCACGAAGAGATAATCCTCAACGAACTCGGAAACAAGCCGTTATTCTTCCCCTTCCCTTTCTTCATCTTTGATTATTGATTATCCTTCAACTACTCTTCCCATCGACACACACTCACCGGAAAAAAAAAATTCCGATTGCAACCACCGTCGCAGACGCTTTGACTCTGTATCACAGAGAGAGAGTTTGAGTTTGCAAGAGCATCGCACAGACACAGACTACGGTTTCGCTTTCTCTGTCATCCATGGTTGCATCTTACTACTGTTACACACTCCTCTGCCTCCGCCTGTAATTTTTTTCTATTTGCTGATTTTCTTTTCTTTTTTTCTCTTCTTCTCTCTTCTTCTTCTTCTTCCCTTTTACTTTTTTTAAAAATAAAAATAAAATTTGTTATTTGTTTTTTAAATAAAAATATAAAAGGCTTTTTTGAATTCCTGACTTTGCTTCCCGAAATGGGTAAATAAGGATTGGATTGGGCTTGCCATGCACACAACACGCAAACTAAATTCGACAAAAAAACGAATTAATTTCTGAAATAATTTGAAACTTCAAATAAGGAAACTTCAAATTATTTAGGTTGCGCTTTTAATAATTTCCGATTCGCCATAGCTGTTTTTAGATACGACGATGATATTTTATTTTATATATATATTTTTTGGGTAGGTTATATTTACTACCTCTTTTTCTTATTATCTTTTACTACTAAATCTTAACTGTTGATTTTCGTCAATCTATCGATTGTAATTTATGGATCATATTTATTAATTAATTATTAATTTCTAATAAATTATAATCGTTAGATTGACGGAAATTTAATAGTAAGAAGTAGTAAGAAAAATAGGTAGTAATTATAACATTTCCCATTTTTTATTATTGTTTAGCATCTTTTATCTATTTTTTAGTTTTTAAATTATTAATTTATTATTATATATTAAATAAATTATTTTTTAATTTGTTTAAATATATTAACCCCATGCTATTAATATTTTTCAAAATTTTAAATATAAACTTTTTAAAATTAATTATAAGCATTTTTGTAATTTTAAATATCTATATATTTTAGATTATACCTGACTTGATTATATATATATATATATATATATATATATATATAGAGAGAGAGAGAGAGAGAGAGAGACACACACACACTTTTAAACATTTTTCTTTTAAATATTTTTATTTATATATATTTTTATATTTCATCTAAATTTAAAAATACATGTATGATGCACGGAAATTAGCTAATCATTTTTAATTTTTTGTATTAGAACTTTTTCTTCTCAAATTATTGTCATGTACACTCTTGAAATAATCACTTATCAATTTTTATATTACCTTCAAAATATTTTTAAAATAATTTTTTCAAAATTAAAATACTTGTACAGTACACAAAAAATCGCTAGTTATTTATTTTAGGAAAATTTTAAGATATATTTTTTTGGTTTTGTATAATTAAGAGCTCGTTTGAAATGTGACGTGCTTTTTTTTCATTTGTTATTAAAATAGATTAAATATTCTACAACTCTATAATTTCATCTAATTTTTAAACGGGTCTCTGTAATTTAAAAAGTTTCTAATAAGGCCTCTATACTTCTTAAAAAAATTAAAAATCCTTATTTAGTAACAACCGTGAACATTCCCTTAACTTTTTATTAAATTATAAGAAATGATTAACATTTATCTTACTGCATCTTCAGAGATGAAATTATCTTTTTATATTTTTTAAGAGAGATAAAAGAATAAATTATGGATGAGAGAGAGTGAAGAAAAAAATTTATAATTTAAAATTTTGAAAAACACACTACATTCATCTAAAAAGACCATCCTTTTAAATGACAAATACTAAACTTTTTTTCTAACTCCAAAATGATATTATTTTAGGATTTAAAATAAAAATAAAGATTATTTTAATAAAATACATAATATAATAAAAAAGTAAAATTTTCAAAATATTATTATTTTTTATTCTAAATCTTAAAACGACGTGATTTTAAAATCGTCGAAGATAATTTGATTTTTGTCAAATAAGAATCTATTTAAAATTTTAAGAAAACTATAAATATGAATTTGACAGCTACTTCTTTTTTTTTTGTTACGTGAGGAAGGGGCAGGGCCCAACCAAAGGATTTGACAGTTACCTTAACTGAGTAGGTTCATGTACTTTATTTAAAGAGTAAATACTTTTTTTTGTCCTCAGCAAATTTTACGACGTCCGTTTTAGTCTCTAGTAAATAAAAAGGCTCATCGTGGTCCCTAAAAAGTGTAAAATGGATCCATTTAGTTGAAATCGTGGTTCTTCATAAATTCAAAAAAGACACGTATTAGTCCCTAAAAGGACTAAAATGGATTCATTTTGAATTTCTTAGGGACCACGATGGGCCTTTTTATTTGCTAGGGACTAAAGCGGACATCGTAAAATTTGCTGAGAACCAAAAATAGTATTTACTCTTATTTAAATTTGTCAAATAGATAAAGGGCAAAGATTTTTCGGTCAACGGAGATAAGTTATCTTCGGTGAGTTCAAAATGATGTTATTTTGGGGCGAAAATCAAAATGTTTTTGTAATTATAATATATTGCAGGATTATATTAGTCTTTATCATTATAATTTTTTAATCTAATAATCCCAAAACGACGTCGTTTTGAGTTCACTGGAGATAACTTTATCTCTGGTAACTGAAGAAATACTTTTCCCTAAGTATAATGGGGAAGGTTATACTTACAACCTATTTTCGTTTACAACTTCTTACAACCATATCTTAACCGTTGATTTCCGTCAATCAACGGTTAAGATTTTCGCAAATCAAATTTATTAATTAATTATTAATTAGCAATAAATGATAACAGTTGATTGGCGGAAATCAGCGGTTAAGATATGACTGTAAGAAGTTATAAACGAAAATAAGTTGTAAGTATAACTTTTTTCAAGTATAATTTAGTAAAAGCTAATAACCATTAAAAAATATAGATATATTTAAAAAAGTTTAAAATTATAAATATTTTGTTAAATTTTTTAAATCATAAAGTGTTGTTTAAAAACTCAACCAAAATACAAAGACTTATAAAATGATCTAACCACTAAAATAATAGAACAACGAAAGATGAGATTGGCTTTGGAAGGATTTTCGTTCTTCAATTTCTCCCTCCCAATTTAATGCTAATAATAAAAAAAATTAAATTCCAAAATGAAACGTTAGTATGTAACTGTGTAAGTAGCTAGTTATTCGATGTATATGGGGGAAAAAAGGCTAGTTATTCGAGATTCAGTGTTCAACATCATGGGCTTATGGAGCCTTGTTTTCTTTTTCTCCTTTTTATTTTGAAATCGGAAAACACAATTTTTTAAGTGTTATTCACGAAATAAGATGCCCTAGAATGTTTTTTGTAAAATATTTCGTATAAAAACCAGGTTTATATTTTTCTTTTTCTATTATGCACAAGAGGGGTCAATCCATCGAAGAAAGAAACTCCGACAACGCCATATAGCACGAAAGAACCTAAATCATATCAAGAATTCCCCACCAATGGGGAAAGAAGAGGTGCAGATATTGGACGTTGATATTTGGCCCTAGAGGTTGGTTCAAAATAATATATATAAACTTCTGCATCATTTAATTAAAATTATTAGATTTTTCTTTCTAATGCCGAAAATAAAATAAAAGCAATTATAATTAGATAATAAAAATGATAGAGATATGAGAAAAATACGTGTCTGGAATCTGGATAGCATTATTTAATATTTTCTGTATTTAGTTTCTTCTTGATTGGTCAATCACCTATCAATTAATAAATAAATGAAAAAAATTTATGCGATGTCTATTAAATTAAAATTGTGTGGCCTCAATTCATTAACATATAATGCTGTATAACGCGCTGAGGATGTTTTGATTGTCACATTCCAAGGGCTGGTAAACGTATTATCGAAGATTAGGCACTTGCAATTGTCTGCAACCTAAAGAAATTTTTTGCAATCATCAGTTTCCAAGAAAGATATCCAAATCTTAAAACAGAATTTTTTTATTTTTTATTTTTAGTACAGAAACGGAAAACTTTTACTAGGATATTTTTTCACCGATAAATAAGCATATGTATTATGTAAAAGGAGAGGAAGGGCGAAACATAAGTATTTGTTTTTTACATCATAAAATTAGGGAGACCCTAAAACCTTATAGACGAAAAGAGGTACCATATGAGTTAACTCTCACATGTAATACAATATTCCTTTCATATAAATAACCAAGTATTTGACTCTCCATTACTAATAAAAAGAAAAATCTATTATGTACACGTTAAAGGAAAATAGCGTGCTTCTTCACAAACTGCAAAAATTTCTGTTTGATGAGGCAATTTCTATCCGCAGAAACTCAATGAAAAGAAGGAATCAGAGAGATCACAAACTCCATAGTGTGGCAGCTGATGATCATGTGATTCCCGTTCCTTTCAACTAATCAGAATGAAGGAGTTCTTCCTGGAAGACTTTTCGAAAGAATGGCATTCTAGTTTTCTTCATGCCCTTGAAGCAAGTAAGGTTGCCATTCAGAAGCTGAAGAACCTGCATCATAAGCTCATTTGCTTAATAATGGACATTATATAACATTAGTACTATGTGACATTATATATATATATATATATATATATATATATATATATATATATATATATATTTGGATAATACTATGTGACATTATATTGTCACAAACAATCACGCATCATTGCTTATTAGTTATTAACGTGCCTGTCTCATGGAGGGGCGACGAATTGAGGATTGTTGTATGCATAAAGAAGCTGCCAAAAGCATAAGATTAATCTGCCTAGAGTCATAGTCATCTGCTAGTGAAGGATCAATCAGCTCCATAATATCATTCTTTTTCAGCAATGGTTTTGCCTGGAAAATTATTAGGAGGAAAAAGTCAATGGCTATAGAGAGATAATCTTTCAATTTTTCAAGGTTGAAAATGTGTGTAAATAAGGTACTATACCCACAAAACAAGGCTTTGTTGTGAATAGTCAAGTGCTCGCCGCCCACTGACTAATTCTAATAGTAGTACACCAAAGGCAAATACGTCCGTTTTCTCGTCTACTATGCCATGAAGCAAGTATTCAGGAGCAAGGTAACTGTGGCAGTCATAAACGGAACCTGAGTTAATAGATATCCACGAAAATTTATAACAGAAAGTAATTCTGAAGGTCACAAACCCAAAAGTTCCTTCGAATTTTGAAACGGTGTGGTGAGTCCAATTCTCTGGCAGCCATTTTGCTAGCCCGAAATCACATATCTGAGCAAAAAAAAATCGTAATGTTTCAATTAATTTCTAAAATATTAAATGTAGAATTAAAGTCTACTTATGTAATTAAACTTACAAATAGACTTTTTTAAATTGAGGTAAGTTAGAGGAGTTAATAATGTGAAATGAAAGAGTTTTCATCCATCACATAAAATGAAGGAACTTTCCAAAAATTGTTTTGTCTTTTGGGGTATAGGAATTTGTGGGATCAATTACAGGATCAAACATATACAAGAGAATCCAAGGCATACCTGAGGCTCGAAATTCTCCGTGAGCAAGATATTTGCAGCTTTTATATCTCTATGGATAATTCTTCTTTGACAACCCTCATGAAGATATAATATACCCTTTGCTGTTCCTAATGCAATTTTTTGCCTAATACACCAAGGTAGTTTCTCCTTGGAACCTGACATGGGAACAAAGGAATGAAAGTTTTGATTAAAATGGTAATAATTGGCTCAATACTCAGTAAAACAGGAAAATCATTCAAGCCATAAACCACTAACCATAAAGCACAGAAGCTAGGCTTCCTTTTTCAGACAATTCAAGAACAAGATGCATTCCACCGTCCACACCATAACCAACCAACTTAGCAGTATTGGGATGGTTTACATGCGCCATTACACCAAGTTCTGATAAGAAGTCCCCTATGATTTCATCAGCTGTTCCTCTTGTTAACCGTTTAATTGCTACTAGCTGACGATTTGGCAAACACCCTTTGTAAACTTCAGCATAACCACCCTTTCCGATCAAATTTTCTGTGCCAACCAATGAAAAACTCAAACCAAGCAAACTCAATGTTCCTTAATGAGAAATCTAGTTCTGAAGCACGTTGCATACCTTGGTTAAAATAATTGGTTGCAACTTGTATATCATGATGAGTAAAGATCTTCCACGGTGACCAGCAGGGGGATGAAGTTGCATCTGAGAGACAACTTGGGAGTATAGTTTCTCTCATGCTTCTGCTCATTCTTCTCGAGAGATTGAAGGAACTGAGAGGATGCAATGTGGGTACAGGGTTCTTTGGTTTGGTCCTCAACAATTGAAGAAACGCATGCCATATAGAAGCAGGTTTTGAAATGTCTTGAGACTCAGAATCCACTGTAGGCTCTTTTGATGAACTTGTTTCTGAATCTGAGCTCCTGAAATAGTCCTCAAGGACAGTAATAGGAGAATCCACCTTTTCCTTCATTTTTTTTTTAGACCCGGAAACACACTAATAAAAGATATTATAAACCCACCATGAAAGTGAGAAATCTCATGAGGAAGGATAAATTATATTCAACTTAAGGAATAAAAAATGGATTTTTCTCAGAAAAGATGATAAATTAAGAGCTACCCATCAAACAGAAAATTGGACTGGATAGGAAAAGAAAGATTGGAATATCTACCTTGAAAAGTTTTTTTTTTTTTTCCTAGAAAATCAATTAGGGGAAAAATAAAGAAAAAGAAAGGAAAGCTTCCTGCAGTATAGGAATCAAAGAAGCCCGAGGGAAAAGCCAAAGCAACAAGAGAAAACCATATTATGAAGAGACCCAAAATAGAAGACACCAAATTACGTATTAGAAACAGAAAGGGTGCTCTGCAACCACATAGCTTCAGAGCATATCTGAAACTCACAAGGTGAATACCTGAGCAACTTAGAAGGATGATATAAATTCAATAAAAAAAGGAAGAGTAAAAGATAAGTTGGGTTGCTCAATGCCACCGCTGATATCGTTTTCAATTCAAAGATGGAACAGAGAAACAGAGGAAGGCAGAGCAGGAAACTGTGCAGAGAACAGAGACGCAGATATCAGAGGTTATTTTCCTTAACCTCCCCGCTTCAGCAAACAACTATCATTGCCCTTTTCAATGTTTCGTTCTACACATAAAAAGAAATTTAATATTTTGCAGACAGAAAAAAGAATAAATAGTAATTAAATAAATTATTTTGGAGTGCTATCTTGGTTACTTAGACTTTTTTTTTGGTATGAATAATTAATATTTTATACGTTTTAGAATATCAACGGGCACCGTGTAAGATAAGAAATGAAATTTGAGGATGAGGATAATCATTATGCCATTTGGAGTTTGGATTGTTGAGGACGACAGAAAAACTGGTAAAGATGGCTTTATCCATCACAAAATGGCTTTTACATCATAAATTTTTTTACGCTTTTTATTTATATTTATTTGTTTGGAAAATATTTTTTATTATTTTCTTATATAAAAGTAATAATATAAAAAAAGTATAGAAAAAGTAATATCAAATAACATCGTCTTTATCCTTGTCACGGACCCACGGTAGCTTCGTTGGTCAGAGAGTCAGAGACGCCTCTATTGTGTCTGTACTCTGTGGTCTCTTCTCGGATACGGCACGTGGAAATGGTGGTTATTATTGCTCAGCAAACCAACCTCAAACTTGGCTTCATTAGTCAAGCTGTGAAATAATGATATACAAACTATGAAGAACACTGTTATAGACTTATCTAATCAGACAAGTGAAATTTATTTTTAGTCAAGTTGTGAAATAAAGATATAAACTTGGCTTCAAATTATTTTTTTTAATAGTATTAAAAAATTTATAACACGTCCTTTTCCTAAATTTGGAATCGCAAGCAGCAATCAATTGCAGTCGCAATTCGTCATATTAGATCAAGTCAGAGATGGCTCTAACATGTTAGTTGTACTTAAGTGCCGAATTCACTTGTTTAAGTTCATGTTTGCTAATAAGTTTTGGGAAACTAGGCAACAAATATTCTGAATTGATTTTTAAGCATTATAATTTTTATTTTTTATTTTTTTTGGTAGGTAAGTTTATTTTTCTTTTAATCACAATGTAAAATTTGTTTATATCATTACGAGTGCCGCCAGATCCGAGACTTTTAATGATAGGGCGAAAATAAAAAATATTTATAATAAAATATGAACTTAATAGAAAAAAATTATATATATATATATATATATATATATATATATATATATATATATAAAATCAACGTCAGTTCACTTAACTCTTCTATAATTGACTTTGTGGAAAAATTTAAAATAATTTCTTTTTCAACATATATAAAACGTTATAAACATAAACAAACGAGTAAAAAAATTTCTATATGAACTAACAATTAATTTTTTTTTATAATTCTTTCCAACAAGTAAATATGAAATTAAGGAAACTAATAAGATGAGTGAAAAATATATATGTTACTGTATTACTATTCATTACATAATTAAAACAATTTAACTTCTTAAGTAAATATTATTATAATCACTCTTTTGATAATATAAAATAGTTTTTATAAAAATATGAAACTCAAATACTAAACTATGTGCTGCAACACAAAAGTCATACTTGTTGGTGAGGAATGCAATAGAGGAAGAGAAACGTAAGTGAGATGTTTGAGAAATAAAAAGAGAATTTCGTTAATTATAAAAATATAGAATAAATTTGCTAGCCACAAAATGAATTTTGGCAGAATGAAGAAAACCTTATCAAGGAAATATATCAAAATAAATTTGATATGAAATACAGAACATTCTCTTAGATTCCATCCCATTCATTATATAACAATTTTATTTTAAAAAAAAAAATTTGTTTTATAGACCTTGTCTAGAACTGATTTTTTATTTTTATTTTTTTTAAAAAGGACAAAAAGGAAGACCACAAGTTAGTTATATGTGTGCCCACATTATAATTGTGGTCATTATTATTGCCATCATGTACGAGACCTGAACACTCCTTCTCCTGGTAGGTTCATTGCTTCCCATTTATTAAAAGACTAAGACAGGGTTTGCCTTTTGTTTTTGTTTTTGTTTTTGTTTTTGTTTTTATCCCCATAAAATACTACGGGCTTGCAGCCAAACGCACCCTTACGTATAACTTCCACCAGCTAAGATGTTACATAATTAATTAATTAATTAATTACATATAAATGGATACCTAATCAATTGTCACTTGATCATTAAAATCTTCTGTCGAAACCACGTAACGTACGTAGCCTCTCACCAATTACCCCTAAGTATAAATATTATAATTGATTCGCTATCATTTCAGCGTAATTAACACAATCACTATGCACAAACCAAACCCCTCAGGCAAGAAACTGAACTATAACACTCAATTCCTTGTTATTATTACTCAACATTCTTCACCAGCAAATCATCTGCTTGGGTCCACAGTGAAATCATACCTCCGTATTAAATCATTTGTATATACTAGTTGTTTTATTCGACTAATGCACGAATTATTTAAATTAAATATTTAATGATAAAATTTTATTAAATGAACAGATATTTATTACATATTTATATACTAGTTTTTTTTTAAAAAAATGTTCAAAATATTTTAAAAAATTAATATTTTGTTAAAAATATTTTTTATAAAATATAATCGAGAGACTCATATTTAAAATATAATAATTATTTTATTTGTCTATAATAATATTCAGATGTATTTTTCTACTTTGTATACATAATTTAAATAAAAAATATTCTATTATTTTAATATGTTAATTTAATTCTTTATGAACATGAAAAATGTTTATGATTATTATGCTGCTTTATTTTATTTTTTCAAAATAGTTTTCTAAGAAGGAGAGCCTCTCATTTTATTATATTTTGATAAAAAAAACTAAAAGATATTAAATACTGAACAAAATATTTTTGATTTCTGAAAATCATAATTCTTGGAAAGAGTAAAGAGATTCAAATTCAAAATCAGAATAGTATAGAACCTTTAGTATTTCAGATACAAATAAATATATATATATATATATATATATATATATATATATATATATATATATATATATATTTATTTATAATGTTACTTTATATTTATAAAAAAATTATGCATCTTATATTAATGTTAATAGTTTGAATAAAATATATATGATTAAATAAAATTATAATATTATTTAAATATAGTTTAGTGAAGCATATGAAGACCACTAAATATGTGAATTAATTAGCGCAGAATTATTTCAGCTTAAAATTCGAAGGCTAGCTAGTAGGAACCCACGGAGATAATAGAAAGGGGATTTGTGTATTGCAGCGTTTGGAATCCCATAAAAATACATTTTTCATAACCCACCGATAAAATTTTCACACATGAAGTTATTTAAATATTTTATAATTATAAATTACAGAATTAAAAATAAAAGGAAAAAATTACAAATATGTCATAAAATAACATTTTTAGGGTGTTTTAATAATAAATTATGTATTTTAATTTATTAAAAATAATACACTTAATTGTTATTTTAAAAAATTAAAAGTTTATTGAAGATAAAAGTTAAAAAATAAATAAATAATTAAAATAAATTAGTCATATAATTTTTCGGTATGAACATTAAAGATTAGGTTGGTTTGATAGCGTTTATAAGTGATATGAACTTAATTCCATATATATATATATATATATAAGCTAAAATGTTTTTTCTGTGACGGCAAAAACCATCTTCTTCTACTACTCTCTCATTAAAAAACGAGTCGTTTCTTTTCTCTTGTTTTCTTTTTCTAAAAACGGCGGGGCCCATTTTTCTTGAGTCAACTGCAAAAAAAATTGTTTTACAGTGACTGAAGAGTATAAAGCCCATATATATATATATGTGTGTGTATGTTATATTAACGATT